GTATATTTTCTTTTTTAATTGTTTTGAAATACTTTTTTTCTTTTTTTCACTTTTATTTTAGGAATTAAGCCAAAGATCTAGTGTTTCAATCCTATCAGAAAAGGAAAAAAGAATAGAGAGAAAATGGAAAAGGAGAAAAAATGAGAAAAATGAAAAAAAATAGTAAAAAACAATAAACGAAAAAAAGAAGAAAAGGAAAAAAAAAAAAAAATTACTAGTCTTTTTTTTTTTCTTATTTCCTTGGTATGCCCTTGTTGAGACAATTGTTACTATACGAGAGTTAAGATTTAGATGTTAGAAACATATAGTAAAATTTCGATGTGGGACTAAAATAGATAATACTTTTTGGGGGTGGGACAAGGCACGCGGGCATGTTCAATTGTTAGCAGTGAAATTAGATGTGGTCTAAAGCTTATGACTACACATGGTTGCCAAAAGTTGAGCTTTGCCCGTATTATTTTTTGATAGTAAAACTTAAATTAGCACTAAGATTAAAAAATAGCTCTATTTTCATCCAATTTTCTTTTTTGGCAAAAATCAAAAGTGTTATGACAAGTACGATTTTTAAAATCTATTTTTATTACATCATTTTGATGTTTTTCTAAAAAATTTTAAAAAAATTAATTATTTTATTTCTTGCCTTTTTTTTTTCGATATTTTCTTTTTGAATTGTTTTGAAGTACTTTTTTCTTTTGAATTGTTTTGAAATACTGTTTTTCTTTTCTTTCACTTTTCTTTTAGGAATGAAGCCGAAGATTTAGTTTTTCAATCTTTTCATAATAGAAAAAAAAATAAAGAGAAAAGAAAAGGAGAAAAAAAAAAAAAAACAAAAGAAGAAAAGGAAAAAAAAAATTTTCTTGTCTTTTTTTTTTTTCCCTATGGTATGCCATTGTTGGGACAGTTGTTACTATCCAAGAGATACAATTTATATGTTAGAAACATATAGTAAAGTTTCGATGTGGGATTAAAATAGAAAATACTTTTGGGGGGGCACTGCATGCGAGCATTTACAAATTGTTAGCGGTAAAATTAGATATGGTCCAAAGCTTATGACTACAAAGGGTGGCCAAAAGTTGAGCTTAGCCCGTATTATTCTTTGATACTAAAATTTAAATTAGCACTAAGATTAAAAAATAGCTCTATTTTATTCCAATCTTCTTATTTTGGCAAAAATTCAAAAGTGTTATAGTAAGTAAGATTTTTAAAATCTATTTTTATTATATCATTTTGATGTTTTTCTTAAACTATTTTTTAAAAAAAATTAACTTTTTTTATATCTTGTTTTTTTTTTTGGATATTTTCTTTTTGAATTTTTGAAATACTTTTGAGCTTTTCTTTTACTTTTCATTTAGAAATGAAGCCAAAGATCTAGTGTTTCAATCCTATCAGAAAAGGAAAAAAAAGAAAAGAGATAAACGAAAAAGCAGAAAAAATGAAAAAAATGGGAAAAAAAAAGAAAAAAGAAAAGGAAACAAAATAAAAGAGAAAAAAAAGAAATAAAAAACAAAATTCTTGTCTTTTTTTTTGTTCTGTTTTTTCCCTGTGGTATGTCCTTGTTGGGACACTTGTTACTATCCAAGATATACAATTTATATGTTAGAAACATATAGTAAAATTTCGATGTGGGACTAAAACATAAACTTCTTTTTGGTGTGGCAAAGCACACGAGCATTTACAATTATTAGCAGTAAAATTAGATATGATCTAAAGCTTATGACTACATAGGGTGGCCAAAAGTTGAGCTTAGTTCGTATTATTTTTTGATATTAAAATTTAAATTAGCACTAAGATTAAAAAATAGCTCTATTTTCTTCTAATTTTCTTATTGGCAAAAATTCGAAAGTGTTATGGCGAGTAAGATATTTAAAATTTATTTTTTTTAAATCATTTTGGTGTTATTCTTAAAAACGTTTATTAGAAAAAAAGTAATTTTTTTTTATTTCTTCTCCTTTTTTTTTGATATTTTTTTTTTGAATTGTTTTGAAATACTTATTTTGTTTTCTTTCACTTTTGTTTTAGGAATGAAGCCAAATATCTATTGTTTCAATCCTATCAGAAAAGAAAAAAAAATAGAGAGAAAAGAAAAAATGAAAAAAAAATGGAGAGAAAAGAAGAAAAAGATAAAAAAATAAAAGACAAAAAATGAAAAAAAAAACAAAAAAAGATTTTCTTGTCCTTTTTATTTTTATTTTTATTCCCTAGTATGTCCTTGTTGCGACAATTGTTACTATCCAAAAGATGTAATTTATATGTTCGAAACATATAGTAAAATTTCTATGTGGGACTAAAACAAATACTACTTTTGGTGAGGTAAGGCATGCGAGTATTTACAATTGTTAGTAATGAAATTTGATATGGGCTAAAGCTTATGACTACAAAGGACTGTATAAGTCGATTCATTTCTGATGATAAGCTCCAAGCGCATCGTAGGAACTACAAAAATAAGGTTCTTTCTCTTTTGTATACGTATAGTTATTGTCGTCAACTATTTCATTTTGATAGTTTCCGTAGTTACATGGATTATACCTATTTGTACAAATACCTCAGCGATTCCCAATCGTTAGTACATAGAAGCCAATAAGCATATCTTGAGTTGGTACAGGGTGGCCAAAAGTAGAGCTTAGCCCATATTATTCTTTAATACTAAAATAAAAATTAGCACTAAGATTAAAAAATAGCTCTATTTTCTTCCAATTTTCTTATTTTGGTAAAAATTCAAAAGTGTTATGGCAAGTAAGATTTTTAAAATCTATTTTTATTACATCATTTTGGTGTTTTTTTTTTAAAGTTTTTTTTTAAAAAACATTAATTTTTTTTAAAAAAATTTAATTTAATTTTTTAAATTTAAATTTTTTATTTGTTGTCTTTTTTTTTTGGATATTTTCTTTTTGAATTGTTTTGAAATACTTTTTATGTTTTCTTTCACTTTTCTTTTATGGATGAAGCCAAAGATCTAGTGTTTCAATCCTATAAGAAAGAAAAAAAAAAAATAGAGAGAATAGAAAGAGGCGAGAAAATGAGAAAAATGAAAAAAAAAAAGAAAGAAGGAAACAAGAAGAAAAGGGAAAAAAAAAATGAGAAAAAAAATGTCCTTATTGAGACAAATGTTACTATCCAAGAGTTACAATTTAGATGTGAGAATCATGTAGTAAAATTTCGATGTGGGACTAAAAAAAAAGGTACTTTTTGGTGCAACAAGGCACGCGAGCATTTACTATTATTAGCAGTGAAATTAGATATGGGCTAAAGCTTTTGACTATACAGGGTGGCCAAAAGTTGAGCTTAAACCATATTATTCTTTGATACTAAAATTAGTACTAAGATTAAAAAATCTATTTTTATTACATCATTTTGATGGTTTTCTTAAACTTTTTTTTAATAAAAATTAATTTTTTTATTTCTTGTCTTTTTTTTTGGATATTTTATTTTTGAATTGTTTTGAAATACTTTTTTTCTTTTCTTTCACTTTCCTTTTAGGAATGAAGCCAAAGATCTAGTGTTTCAATCCTATCAGAAAAGCAAAAAAAAACAGAGAGAAAAGAAAAAGGAGAAAAAATGAGAAAAATGAAAAAAAAAGGGAAAAAAGTGAAGAAAAGGAAAAAAAAAAAAGAAGAGAAAAAAAGAAAAAAATTTCTTGTCTTTTCTTTTTTTTTCCCCTGGTATGTCCTTGTTAAGACAATTGTTACTATCCAAGAGATACAATTTATATGTTAGAAATATATAGTGAAATTTTGATGTGGGACTAAAATAGAAAATACTTTTGGACGGGCAAGGCACGCGAGCATTTACAATTGTTAGCGGTAAAATTTGATATGGTCTAAAGCTTATTACTGCACAGGATGGCCAAAACTTGAGCTTAGCCCGTACTATTCTTTGATAATAAAATTTAAATTAGCCCTAAGATTTAAAAAATAGCTCTATTTTCTTCCAATTTTCTTTTTTTGGCAAAAATTCAAAAGTGTTATGGCAAGTAAGATTTTTAAAATCTATTTTTATTGCATCATTTTGATGTTTTTCTTAAACTTTTTTTTTAAAAAATTTAATCTTTTTATTTCTTGTCTTTTTTTATGTATATTTTTTGTTTGAATTGTTTTGAAATACTTTTTTTCTTTTCTTTCACTTTTCTTTTAGGAATGAAGCTAAAGATCTAGTGTTTCAATCCTATCAAAAAAGGAAAAAAAAAATAGAGAGAAAAGAAAAAGGAGAAAAAATGAGTAAAATTTCAATGTGAGACTAAAACAAAAAATACTTTTTGGTGCGGCAAGGGATGCGATAATTTACAATTGTCAGACTTGAAATTAGATATGGGCTAAAGCTTATGATTACATAGGGTGGCCAAAAATAGAGCTTAGCCCGTATTATTCTTTGATACTAAAATTTAAATTAGTACTAAGATTAAAAAATAGCTCTATTTTCTTTCAATTTTTTTATTTTGACAAAAATTCAAAAGTGTTATGGCAAGTAAGATTTTGAAAATATATTTTTATTACATCATTTTTCTGTTTTTCTTACAAAAATTGTTAAAAAAAATAAATATTTTTTATTTCTTTTCTTGTCTTTTTTTTATATTTTCTTTTTGAATTGTTTTGAAATACTTTTTTTATTGTTTTCCTTTACTCTTCTTTTAAGGATGAAACCAACGACCTTTTCTTATCTCTTTATTGATTATCTATTTTTTATAGGGTTGGGATTCAATTGTATGAGAGGTCAGGATGGATGGCTTCTAGTGCGAGATAGCTGGAAACCCTAGGGTTTTAACACACGAGCATAGATCCCAAGCTTTGGCTATGGCCAACTCAAGATCTGACTGGTTTGAACAAAGGGGGACATTGGTTACTCTGCAAAACCAGGAAGGGACAAATTGTCGTGAGGAACCAAATGCAAATTCTAATGGAAAGAATCAAGAGGTGATCGATTTAGATGCAAAATCAGATGGGAAAAATCAGGAGATGGATCCTAATAATGCCCTTGACGATTTTAATTCAAAATCTGATGGGAAAAATCAGGTGATGGATCCTAATAATGCCCTTGACGATTTTAATTCAAAATCTGATGGGAAAAATCAGAAAGTCATCGACTTGAAAGCAAAATCAGATGGCCAAAATCAGGGGTTTGAGCAAAAGAAAGTCCCGGATGATTTGCAGATTACTGAGAGGAGATCATATGCACAAGCTTTGGGTAAGCTGTCGAACGTCGATGGTCTCCCAAACCCTATTCATGACGAAAAGATTATTAGGGTTAAGATTCCACAGAGAGCCTATGAAGAACAACTCATGAAGCACAAATTTGCGCTGATCGGTAGACTGAACTTGAGGAATCTTACCATAGAAAATTTGAAGAAGTATGTAAGAGAAAACTGGAAATTGATAGGTCGTGTTACCCTGATTGTGTTGGGTAAAGGCTTCATATTATTCAGATTCAATTCTGAAGCCGACATGACTACAATATGGAGACGAGGCCCATATCGAATTGATGGCCAACTACTGAGATTTCAAAGGTGGCAACCGGATTTTAATGTGAATCAGAACACTAGCCATGCTTTGCAATGGATCAGATTCCCTGACCTTCCACAAGAGCATTGGCACGACGAGATTCTCCTTCACTTGCAAAGGCAGCTGGTACGCCAATGCAATTGATAAAAACACAAGAGATTCAACGATGGGGTACTTTGCAAGAGTTTGTGTCGATGTTGATTTATCGGCAGATAGAGTAGAAGAAATTCTCATCGAGAGAGAACAAGTGGGTTCAAAAGACATTTACCTATTCAAGCAGGTAATGATCTATGAGAAACCTACTGAAAGATGTGGATATTGTACAAAATATGGCCACATGATCGCTGGTTGCTTAAAAAGGAAGGACGATGAAGGAAAAAAAACCAAGATTATTATCAAGGATCTTGGTGAGCACAACAATGTTCATGGGGTCGCTGATATGGCTGCAAATTTAAACAATGTTGATGCGAATCATGTTGTTGTGAACAAAGAAAACAGTTGTTGGTGTTACAGTAGAAGGAAACTTGGCTGCAGCTGATGTTGCCGCACAAAATGCCCACAATGTCGATTGTAATATTGTTGGGGAAAATTCTGTTGCTGCTGCAAACAATGAAGTTTATGGTATGAACAAAAAAGGAATTGTTGACGGTACTGCAGTATCCATGCTTGCAAGCTAGGATCAAGTTACTCTTGTTGATGTGGCTGCTGGAAAAATGGTTGCAGTGGCCGATCAAGTTGCTCTTGTTGATGTGGTTGCTGAAAAAATGGTTGCAGTGGCTGATGTCGCAGGAAATTCTAACAATGTCGAGGTCAATTGCGATGATGTTGTTGACGAAAATTTTGTTGCAGCTGCAAACAAAGGAACTTATGGTAGAAATAAAAACATATTTGGTGAGGGTACGGGAGTACCTATGGTTGATCAAGTTGCTCTTGTTGAAGAGAGACAAACAAAAGAAAAGGTAGAGGGTCTGACCTCTAATGATCTGGGTGTTGAAAATGTTCTGACCTCTAATGATGTAGGTGTTGAAAATGTTGGTCACGGTGATGTCTTGGACTCACCAATTCATCAGTTTTCACTGATGCAATATACGGACAACAGTCCTTCCTCAAGAGTCCCGGAGACACAATTTGATGTGGTGAGCCCAAATTTTGGGAAGACTGCGGTCGTCTTACATGCGGAAGTTGACATGGTAGATGAAGCAATGGTGCAGCTGGAAGGCGAGTATACTCCCGTAAAATCTAAAAAGGCCAAAGCTGCTACTGTTATCCAGGCGCGCAAGTCTACAAGACTTGGAAAAGGTAACCAATCTTTTGCCTAATGAAGTTACTTTACTGGAACATTCGAGGAATGGACAGGGTCAAAGCTCGAAATGCTTTGAAGTTTCATATGAAAGAGCATCAACCTGAGATGGTTTGCATTGCAGAACCTTTGGTTCATCCCAGTAAATGTCCCCTGATTTTCTTTTCAGCCTTAGGATATTGCTCTGATTTCTTGCATAATGAGAGAGCTGATAAGCATCCAAATCTTTGGTTATTTTGAAAGAATTATATTCCAAAACCTGTGATATTGGGAATGTCTGACCAGCAGATTACGATTAATATGGGTGTCTTTGGTAATAATATGCAACTTTTCATTGTTCATGCTAGTACTTTTCATTGTTCATGCTAGTACTATCCGAGCAAATTGTAGAAACCTTTGGATGGAACTTGTCTCTATGACAACAACCTCTCCTTGGGTAGTTGCAGGAGATTTTAATGCCACCCTCTTCTCCCATGAAAAGAGAGGCTCAGGTCCATTCAATATGGGATCTGCCAACGAATTTGCAGCCCTGATTGATTCATGTTCTCTTATAAGACTACACTATTGGTAGCAAATTCACTTGGTCCAACAATAGAAGGCATGGGAATGTGATGGCAGTTCTTGACAGAGGGCTTTGTAATGATGCTTGGTTCAATTTTTTCGATGATTGTACTCAAAAGACTCTACCAAGGCATGCACCTATTTTGATTAAATCTGAGGACATCCAACGACCTAACAATATACCTTTTCGTATGCGAAGGTTTTGGATAGATCATAAGGATTTTTCTGAGGTGGTTTCACAATCTTGGAATACTCCTGTTAATGGTACACCCATTTTTATTGTTGTCAAGAAACTTAAAAGGTTGAAAGCCGATCTAAAAAATTGGGCCAAATTAACTTTTCCTCGACTTAATAATCTAGTGAAGTCCATCACTATTGAACTTGAACACATACAGGAAACTATTGAGAATGTGGGATCAAATGGTTTTCTTTTGGATCAAGAGCTTGAAGCCAAATCCAAACTTCATAATGCTCTTGAAATTCGAGAAAAACTGTGGGCCAAAAAATCCAGGATTAAGTGGCTAAAATGTGGGGACAGGAACACCAAATTCTTTCACTTGACGACTAAAATCCGTCAAGCAAAGAATTTTATGAGAAAGATTAAAAAGCAGGATGGTTCTATAATCTCAGACACAAAGGATATCGGAAATTATGTTGCCGAGTTCTATGAAAATTTTCACAAAAAACCGGCATCCTTGAAATGCACTTATTTGCTTAACTGTATTCCACTTCTTATTGATCAGAATGATAATCACATGCTCACAACAATTCCTTCTGAAGATGAAATAAAGTCGGTCGTTTTTGCTATGGATTTTAACAATTCCCTTGGACCTGTTGGTTTTCCAGGAACTTTTTATCAGAAATGTTGGTATATTGTGGGTTTTGATGTTTGCAGGGCAATCAGGAACGTCTTCTAGGAAGGAATTATTCTGAAAGGCTTCAATAATAACTTCATCACTTTGATTCCCAAAGTTGAGGGTGCTAAGTCTCTAGATTTGTTTAGACCAATCTGTATGGGAAACTTCATCTTCAAGATCATTATGAAAATTATGGCTTCAAGACTGGCATCCTTACTTCCCAAATTGATATCTGAGGAGCAAGGGGCTTTCTAAAAGGGTAAAGTTATTTTTTCAAACATTTCCCCTGCATCTGAACTGGCCAATGTAATTCCTATTAAGTCTCGTGGTGGGTCTATGAGAATTAAAATTGATATACAAAAGGCTTATGATTCCCTGGAATGGGAATTTCTTTTTGATGTATTGGAAAATTTTGGTTTTTGTGATAAGTGGATTCATTGTGTCCGACAAATTTTAATTTCGGCCAATATTTCTGTGCTTGTGAATGGTGGTCCATATGCGTTTTTCAAAGCTGAAAGAGGCCTTCGCCAAGGTGATCCTTTAGCATCGTTACTCTTCATCATTGCGAAAGAAGTTCTATGCAAGGGTATTTCTAACCTAAGAGAAAAGGGCAAAATTAAAGCTCTTCCAGGACCAAGGAATTCCAAGGTACCCACACATCTCCTTTTTGCTGATGATGTTTTTATTTTTATGAATGCAGATATCAGACATGTAAAAAACATGAAGAGCTTTCTTGTCGATTACCAAAAGTATTCTTACCAGTTGATACATCAGGGAAAGAGTAAGATTTTATTTGGAAGAATTCTTGGCACAAGGAAAAATGAGATATCTAGAATTTTGGAATTTACTTAATGTTGCTTACCAACAAAGTATCTTGGTGTCAATATCTTCAAGGGCTGGGTTAAAAAAGAGCACATCTTGGAAATGGTGGACAAATTTAAAGTCAAAATTTCAAGCTTGAAAGGTAAATTACTCTTTATGGCTGGTAGAGTTCAACTAATCAAGTCGGTGGTGACTAGTCTACCAATACACAATTTTTCTATTTATTGGTGGCCGTCCTCGATCATTGCACGTATGGAACGATGGATGAGAAATTTTATTTGGTCTGGGGACCTGATAATTCAAAATCGATTACTGTCAAATGGGACCAAATTTGTAATCCAAAAGTTGAAGGTGGGCTTGGTGTGTGCAAATTGAGGGACATTAACAAATCCCTTCTTGCAAAGTTATGTTGGTCAATTAAACAGGAAGGTACAATGTTTGGCAACTTTATGAGAGCTAAATATCTAAGGCAAGATGGATCAATAAAAAAGTCCTCTTCCTCTTCTATTTGGTCTGGCATCCTAAAAGTTTGGGACTTGGTTACGGATAATGAGCATTGGATTATTGGTGATGGTTTCAAGATAAATTTTTGGAAGGGTAAGTGGATGGGGGAAATCACCATAGCAGAAGCTTCAGGTCTTAATGCTTCGATGTTTCGAAGCTTTAATGCAAGGGTATTCAGTTTCATCTCGGGTATGCAATGGTCTCTTCCTCCTGTTTCTTCTTCATTTTTGAATGATTTATTCTCACAAATTCTACTCATTCAATTACCCACCATTGATGTTTTTGATGTTTGTATTTGGAAACCTACATTGTCTGGGTTATTTTCCTCTCGTTCTACGTGGGAAACTTTTTGAGAGAAAAGCAACCAGGTTTCTTGGTATTCAATTGTTTGGCAACCACATTTACAGCCAAGACACTTAGTCTTTGGCTGGAGGCTTATGCAGTTAAGTTACCTACTGATGATTCCTTTACTTCCAAAGGAATTCCTTTAGCCTCTCACTGTTCGCTATGCTTCCAGAGTTGTGAAACTAGCTGTCATATCTTTCTGGATTGTTTATTTTCACTTGATCTATGGAGATGGTTCTTGGAGATATTTGGCATACAGGTATGGCCGAATGTTTCAAATTTGCAAGAACTATCTCAGTGGTGGAACAATAAGGTAGAACAACTACCTTTTCCACAAATATGGAGAGTTGGACTTATATTTATTCAATACCACATCTAGGGGGAGAGGAACTCGACGATTTAATCGACAAAAGAGGATATCTTGGGTGGTCCTCACAAGTATAAAAAAAGACATTATGAAAGCTGCAAGAGGGATAAAGAACTTATCACCGAAAAATCCTTTAGATCTCTCCAAATCCTGAGGACCTTTGATATCCCTGCGGGTCGATCAAGGCCAAAAACTCCCATGGAGATCATATGGAGGAAGCCGGCCGAAGGATGGTTCAAGCTAAATGTTGATGGTTGTGCACTGAGCAATCCGGGTCATTCTGGGGCGGGTGGTATTTTCAGAAATTCAATGCGCATACTAGGTTGGACTTTTTCATCTTATTTGGGTAATACAACAAATTTTTTCTCAAAATTTTTTGCTCTGTTCCAAGGTATGGAGATTGCGATGGAGAAAGGTGTGGAAAGGATTTGGATAGAATGTGACTCAATAGTTGTTTTTGAAGCAATTAAAGACAGAAAAATCCCATGGAAATTTTCACAAAAATGGCTTATGCTTCGAACTTATTTGGATGATATACTTTGGAAGATAACACACATCTTCTGGGAAGGAAACAATGTGGCTGACCTACTAGCAAAGAAAGCTGCATATTCTCGACTGACCAATTTTTAGGACCATCCACCTGATCATGTTCGGACAGAGATCACTTGGGATCTCATTGAGTACAAAAGATTTTGATTCATTACTTAGTCGATTGTTAACATTGTTGATGGCTTTGCCAAAGGTGGTGTTCTCAGTTGTTTTTGTACTATTGTATTTCCGTCTGGGAATGCCTAGATGTAGAATTTTGTACCCAGTTTATTAATAATATTGCTTACCTTTAGCCAAAAAAATGAAGCCAAAGATCTAGTGTTTCAATCCTATCAGAAAAGAAAAAAAAAAAATAGAGAGAAAAGAAAAATGACAAAAAATGAGAAAATAAAAATAGAGAAAAAAAGAAGAAAAGGAAAAAAAAAAGGAAAAAAAACAAAAAAAAATTTTCCTCTTGTTTTTTGTTTCCCCTACTAGGTCCTTGTTGGGATAATTGTTACTATCCAAGATATACAATGTCACGACCTCGCCCTCGACCACTGTACGTTACACAGCGACAGGGGATCGAGCGCGGGTTCGCGATCCAATGTAACGTTTGTCACTTAGGTAGGAGTGGACTCAATGCCTTTATTTTCGGTAATCGAGCAAACCATGGAAAAGAACTAGAATAAAAACTCAACTAGCAAAAGAGTAAGGAAACACTCCAAACACCAAAATTCATAATATAAAAATCTTCCAAAATATTACATTCATTTCGGTGCACCTAGGCCCAATATTACACATATCCACCAAGAACAAAACAAAACCAAGGCCAAACAACCCAGACATAAACAAGGTCTAAGCACCTTCTTCAAGAACACTTGCTTCGTCTTCCAGTCGCCAAACACGAATTTCTAGCTCTGCACCTATCGCTATCAATCTACAAGGAGAGGAGAAATAATGGGATGAGCTATACAGCCTAGTAAGCAAGTCTAGTGTCATGCATCTGTAGTGGTTCTATCCATGTGTGAAAACAATACAATTCATCAATATAAAGTCCTAGTTTAGCATTTATGTATATCAGTTCAAGGTAGCGAATATGAACATTTCATTTAAATGATAGTTACCTTTAAATCGGTGTGATCATAAGCACTCGGTCAGTGAAATCATTAATCATCCAATCATTGTAATACTAAACATTTCTTATACAGAAAATCAATTCTTATCCACTCACTCCCTAAATCTCCTGCTCCCGCAGTAAAGGCCCTATCTATCAGTCTAAGCCAATCCCATTGCTTAAGACCTCTACCATCATACAGGATGGAGGGTAATGACAAGTGGGTTAATCTACTTCATAATGCCCTCAATACACACACACAGTCCTCAGCGTGCATTGGGGGTTCGATAGGCCCTTACCTTGCAAGGCATCAATCATTTCATTTCATAAATCTAGGGTGCGACTCTCTATCATCTCCCTTAACCCGTTCCTATCATTATGCAGGTTAGGGGATATGCTAGCATCTCTTTTCTTACTACCGATGAGTGTCCCATCGCGTAGCAGGCAATATCATAGCAGTATCCACTACCGGTGAGTGTCCCACTGCATAGTGGCCAATTCATTACAAGTATCATAACAATATCCTCTACCGGTGAGTGTCCCACCGCGTAGTGGCCAATAAAATGCCTCATAATGGATGAATCACATTCTCATAAATCAATGTCTCATACAGATGAATCATATTTTATCATAACATCATAACATCCTAGCATTAAGTAAAAGACATTCCTTTCATAAGCTTTCACAGGGCATTTACACATAAGCCCTCTCAGCAGCATTTGGCATTCACTATGAATTCATTTCATCATTATCGCACTCGTGGCGCCTCTTTCTCACAAAGTGAAGTTTACACGGCATCATTCACATATCTTTATGGCATTCTCATGGAATTTATCATATGGCATTCACATTTATCATATATCAAGAGAACTTAGCGCTGCATGGTCGTAAAATGATGCAATGATAAGTAACAGTGACATGCCCCTCTTGTGAGGGCGTAGCACCCGATTTAGGGGGATTTTCATGATGCCTTAAAAATGAAACTTTGAGCTTATACATAGACCTTTACAAAGATAGTAATTTGAAAGAAATGGGGGGCCATTTGATGGGTCAATAGCTCAATACAAAGTGAGCATTAGTTGCTGGAAATCTTCCCTGCAACAGTGTGCAGCGACATACTCATGCATTTTAGGTCATAATTCAAAATCCGTGGGAAATTTCAAAACTCTCAAAACATGCAACTTTGACTACATTCACAAACCTTTCTAATGGTGGAAGTTTTAAGGTTTTTGGGCACCGCTTGCTGGGTCAAAAGAATTTCCCAAGGAGGGCCACAATTGTTGGAATTAGCAGCGACTGTGAGCAATGTTATGCCTCGACATTTTAGGCCATATATTTTCTTCCAGGTGAAATTTCATCATGACATAAACAATAGACTTAAAGTAGACATACATGCCTTTCATTCGAGACAGGCTTAGTCCCATTTGGACACCATTTGGCCATCAACACGTTGATGCAAAAATGGTCACAATTTTGAAAATTCATATGCTCAAGTTAATATGCTTTTAAAGAACACTTAATATTTCCTAGTCAAGCTACACTTTGGGCTTGGAACCTTGTTCATGATAAGGAGTCTCATAGTGAGCAATTTCATGAGTGTCCATAAATAAAAGGATCATATATGTGGTAAAAACATTCATGGCATTCAGAAGCACAAAAAATTGAAATTTCAACCTCATGTTAACCCATTCATTCTTCACATTTTCATTCTATCATTTTACCCATTCTAAATATTTGCTCTTTACATAAACTATGGATGCATAGAAACTAAACC